TTAAAAATTAATGGAAATAAAAATAATACAAAGCTGGTTTAATATTAAACTAGTTGTGCCTGATGTTTTCTGTATAGATGTCTGCCTGATGTGTACAATATAGCTTATAGTCCAAATGCCTGGTCAGGAAAACACAGAGGCGAGAATATCTTTAGTCCAAATACAGTCAATTACGCACCCACATTACTGCAGCTCAGAGCAGATCACTTTAAAACAATACATGACACAAAAAAGTCAAAGGCAGAATAAAGCAACAATAGCAGTGTCTATGCTTCCTTGTGCCTGCATGCATATTGAAGGGTTATTACGATATAGCTGCCAGCTATTGTGCTCATCTCAACTAACTTAAACATTTCACTCAAGGGCATAAAAACAACTTTACAAAGCTGAGCAGTTTGAGATGGCAAACATTATACATCTCTTTCGGTGTAAGTCTCATGTGTACGCATTTGTCTTTGCAGGAGATGTTAGCAATTAGTCGAGTCTTTCAGATGATGAAACGGGCAGCAGGACTGCTGCAGAGCTGCTGACTCCAGTGGGAAGGAGAAGTAACTCATGGTCTGAACGCTCTGAACCCGTTCCTCTCCCTCGGAGCACAATCCCCAGTGTGCAGCTGCTCCATCCTGCGTCACAGCACACAGCGGCTCTGCACACTGGTACGACAAAGCTAATGTATGATTATGGGAAAATACCTCCTTTTGATAAACACAAATCCAGCTTTGGGATGCTCTGTATCAGTAAAGCTGATTCTATGGTTGGACGTACATTTAAAAATCCACATTACTAATACTCTATATTTTCCAAGCCCTTTTAAACTGTAATCTTTAGAGATCTAATCAGACTTCCCTGTATCAGCTAAAATAGGGAGATACATGCACAGAAACCGGGGTACATTTGCCTCCTAAGACTGTGTTCATTGTTAGTGTCTGTGTGTTGCATTATGGTATTTGCATAAGTAGGTTTCCAAAAACCCAGGAAGCTGACATGCTGATACTGAACGTATTCAGTGTGCATATTCTGATACTGAGACAGCAACTAGTTTCCAGATGGTATTTCTGATCAGAGATTTAAACAGAATAAAATGGGCCATAAGACAAAGGATAATTTAGCAGAATTCACCTGGCTGGGCTAAGGAAGGGTGCTGCAGGCTGGCATCCGTATCAGGAACCTGCTCTGCTGCTGCATATAACTGAAAGGGGGAGTACATTGAAAAAAAGAGGGGGGAAAAAATCTGTAAAACCAAGCCAGTCTCATCTGCAAGATGTAATGAATCTAAACCTAGAGAATAAAGTGCATACAGATTAATAATGTGTGTTTCTGCCCTATTTGCTGCTCATTTAAAATATGTGCAGTTACAGTGATTCTTTCATAAAGATACATGGCATGATTTTACTACCTTTATATTTAGAAGCCTGGTTTTTGTCTGTAGGAATTTTCCCAATCTTCTGCAGAAGGTCAGGCTTTCTTGCCAAAGACAAGAGAGGTTTACCACACTTCTGGGTTCTTAATGATATAAACCCCACAGGATTACAAGCCAGTTTGGGTTTTCTGCATTCTTTCTTTACATTTATTTTTAAGAAGGAAACTTGGGACCAAGGTGGATGGCACAGAACTGATCCAGAAATTCAGGACAGAAAGAAATCCCAAAGTTAGTGCAGCCTTGCAAGCGCGAAGCCCAGGGTACCAGTCAAGTCACTGACTTTCACAGACCTCACTGAAGAACGTGGGTTTTCAGCTGCAAGTTGTACAGATCCAGATCTGATAAGCCTATGCATGCAGAATACTTCAGGCTAAATTCTTCCTGACCTTCCCCAGCACCATGCCTCCGGCAAGCTCTCTGAAAACAGCCATTTGAAGTCAGAGAAATCTGGGTCATTGACTTCAATAGAAACTCTGATTAAGGAGGAGATGCTCAGCTCCTGCACCTTTCACTCTACCCTTCTGTTACAACCCTGCCTGTGGATGGGCTGTTTTATTCTGTGCTCCTGGGTGCTCTTCTATCTCCAGTAAAACCAGTGCCAGCTTCCGAAATCAAACAGCCTGAGCATGTAAGAACAGCTATTTCCAACTGTCTTTCTGCAGCGTGCAAGCCAAAAGTGAGACAGAAAGAGGAATGGAGTGCAGAGGAATAAATGGAAGGGATCAAGTTGTTTCCCACTGGCACCAGCTGGGAGTTGTCCTTATTCAGGGAAAGGTCTGACTGCAGAACGGGCCAGCTACTCCCTTATCGCTTGTCTCAGTCCAGTTCTGTCATCTGGCTGCTCACACCTACTGGGTCTAAATAATTTGCCGAGGCACCAAGGGCACTGGGTGCTTGAAATGGACTTGAGAGGCTGGTTAATGCTTTACAAGGTTAAGGTTGCTTTAAAAAGCATAGCAGAGCATTAGTTCCCAAAATGCAGTCATCAGAGAGAGTAACACTTGCTGAGTTCAAACGAGGTCAGCTGTCCAGGCAAGTACATGTATTTGATCTACTGTCATGGTGAAGGCGGACTGTAAACTTTGGCAGAGAAGATTATTAATCTTTCAACTCACAGCATATAAGCAATGACTGGTAATACCTATTTTTCTGAGAACTGGAATGCCTTTTGGAACCACACCAGATTACTTAAAAGAAGTTCCTCTGCCATTACCCAAAAGCAGTTCCAAACCTGTCTCGCCCACGTTCAATTAAACCTTAAAAAAATAAATAAAATAATAATAAAAGAAGGCGGGGGCAGATGATGGTTCATTCAACAAGCATTTTCCTCCTTGCGAGGAGCCGCAGCAGCTCACTCAGCTGCACACCATGTGGGCAATAAACATCAATTTTTAAGTAATCCGGCATTGCTGGTAGCGGCTTTCACTTGGAAAGCTGAGCAAGGGCTAATTCCAGCACCTCCACGATGGTGAGGGAAGCAGGGGACAGGCTTTGCTCGTGGGGCTCCTCGACCTTCTCTTCAAAAGCTGCTGTTTTCCAGCTCCGGTTAGGGTGTAGGTGTCTGATCGTACTCGTGTGGCTTTTATGTACCTCTGAGTTATGCGTCACATAATGCAGCTGGAAATGTCCTGCTGTCTGAGGCCAATCTGGGAACGTTTCTCTGTTTCAGGACAAATCTGAACTAAAACGAAGGCTGAATCTTGAGCCTCTTCAAATTCTCTTGTTTTTTCTGTGCATCTCACTCAATCCTTTCATCTTTTGTCTCCCAAAGGGCTGAGATGAGGATCTGTCAGTAACCCAGGTGGTATTTAAGGTCCTGCAAACCATTTGCTTTTCCCATGTGTCCTGTGTCTTGACCCAAAAGCTTGTTCTCCTGCATTATTTATCCTCTTCACCCTGTTGCTTGTTTTCTTCCCCCTACTTCTGCAGTTCTTTTCTCCAGACAGAACATACTTAAAAGAAAGCACTTAACCGAGGAATTGGCATTGGCAGTCCAGCTGTATCCAAGTGGATACTTGATCAGAGGAAGCTTTGCTCAAGTTTGAGGGATTTCTCAAACTGCATGTGGAGGGCTGGCTCCTTTTTAACCCAGAGGCAAACGACATGATCAGGAAAAGGGACTGGATTCTTCAGACCAATCTATATTTAAATACATGCAAACTGCAGATTATAAGGTGCCTATGATATAGCTGTTTTACAGCACCAGAGCAGGTATCAGATTCCATCTATCAGTACCGATATTTATGCTGAGCCATGACTACTGCACAGCCTTCCTGGCCCTCTTTTATTCATGTTTATGGAGGAAATACAGGTAAGTCCCCTGGAAGATCCTGGTTGAATGGATCCTTGAAGAAAACTTTCACTCAAGCTTTCTGCATAGGGAAGAAAAGCGGCAGTCTTGTTTACAACACAATACCTTGTTTACAAAAGGTATTTTGGAGCAGAATTCCCAATTGCCAGTGCAAGGCATGGAAACGCGATAGGTCAGAGAATGGGAGCTGCAGCAACACCGTGGAGATGCCACGGTTGTTGTGAACTGTTTGTTTTACTTTAAATACGCAGAACCTTTATTGTAAAACATGCTTAAAATTACTTCATTTGGGAAAACAATGCACTTACTCAGTTTGAAAAGCTGGGTAAGGGCAGACTGGAGAGCAGGGCTACCAGGTGGATGCTCTGCTAAGGGATACCCAACCGCGAGCAGCGACCCCACCCGCAGCCCCCGTCCTCCGTCCTCCGTCCCGCTGGAGCCGGGGTTTGACACGCTCCGGGGGTGCCACACGAGCGGGACAGCGGCTGCGCGGCCCGCACCGCCCGGGCGCTCCCACCGCAGCGCACCCTCGGGTTCCGGGGTCACCGCCAGGCGCAGGCCCCGGGCGGGCGGCTCGGGGTGAACCCGGGACGAGGCGGCGGCGGCGCGGCCGGTACCGGGGCGTCAGCGCGGGGCCTCCCGCCGCGGCGGGGGGCGGTGCGGGGGAGCGCGCGACCGCCCTGGCCTCCGCCATTGGCCCAAAGTAGGTCAGCCCGCGCGCTCACGTGACGGCCCTCGCGCGCCTCCGCGTGACAGCGGGGCCCGCTGAGTGCCCGCCCCGTCCCGCCGGTACTCCCGCGCCGCGGCCCGGCTGTGCCGGGGGTCACCGGGCGGGATGGAGCGCGGTGCTGACCCGGAGCGGAGCGGCAGGTGCTGTGCGGGTGTCGGTTGGTGTCGGAGCGCTCCGGTCAACGGCAGGGCTCTGATAACCGGGTGTCAACGGGTCTTGTGCTGTGACCGGTGCCTGACCTGATCTGCTTGTCTTTCGGGTGGAAAGAACCGTGTAACGTGTAAAGGCTGTTCAAATTGTGCTTTCAAATCATTGAATCAGCTAGGGTGGAAAAGACCTTTAAAATCATCGAGTCTGACCTTTATCCCAGCACTGCCAAGGCCACCGCTAACCCATGGCACTGAGGGCCTCCTCTACACGGTGTGTGAACGCTTGCAGGGATGGTGACTCCAGCACTGCCCTGGGCAGCCTGTTCCAATGCCTGAGCACCCTTTGGGGAAGGAGTTGCTCCGAATATCCAATCTAAACCTCCCCTAGCACAGCTTGAGGCCATTTCCTCTTGTCCTATTGCTTTTTACCTGGGAGAAGAGATCGACCCCACCTCACTACAACCTCCTTTCAGGTACCTGTAGAGGGGGATAAGATCCCCACAGATGTATTTGATAAAGAATTACATTTAAAAAAGAGGTATTCTTGGAAAACAGAACATTAACCTAAATGTACTTAGTTTGAAAAACAGAGCCCAACAGGATCTTTGGGCATGTAACTGATCATATTTCTGTGATGAAAACAGCAGAAACATTAAACATTGGCTGAGATTTATCTTTTTTAATTGGGGGACCACCTTTGGAGAGGCGTAGCCGGAATATTTGGGTAACTCACAGGTACATGTGACACACGTGTTCAGAAAGAACACAGTGTCCTGACAGCCTGGCAGTTTAGGCAACTTGGTATGAGACCTGCCTGTGTGGCAAGGCTAGGCTTAAATTACTGCTCCAGTTGTAGCGTGAGACTGACAACAACAGCTCTAGCACCCTGCTCAGGTGCATTGCTTAGAGTTTCTGGCTGGGCTGATATCCGGAAGGGTTGTTCCAATGTTCTCACCCAGAAAATTGCAAGCTTCTGGGTGTTGGGAGTGCAGGGTCTGTAACTGTATGCAGGCTGCTTCACTGTGCTCCGTGCTTGCACAGATCTACACATAATTTAGCCTACTCAATGTCAAGTGGTGACACAGTGCAGTTTTACTGTCATTCTGTTGAGCTGAAAATGCAGCTGTCGAGTGTATTTTGACTGTAGTGGTCAGTAAGCATAAAATAATAAGTAGTTATGCTCAAGCTGAGCTCTCATCACATCCCTAACCATGTTTGTTATTGGTGTTTCCCAGTATCCCCATAGCTTTTACCTGTCATAGAATAATAGAATCATAGAATCCCAGACTGGTTTGGGTTGCAAAGGACCTTAAAGCTCATCCAGTTCCAACCCCCTGCCACAGGCAGTGACATCTTCCACTAGAGCAGGTTGGTCCAAGCCCCATCCAACCTGGCCTTGAACACTGCCAGGAATGGGGCAGCCACAGCTCCTCTGGGCACTCTGTGCCAGGGCCTCAGCATCCTCACAGGGAAAAAGTTCTTCCTTGTCCAAAGCCCCTCTCCAGGTTTCTTGTAGCACCTTTAGGCTCTGGGAGCTGCTCGAAGGTCTTCCAGAGGCTTCTCTTTTCCAGGCTGAACCAGCCCAGCTCTCTCAGCCTGGCTCCATAGCAGAGGTGTTCCAGCCCTCAGAATATATGTGGCCTCCTCTGGGCTTGCTGCAACAGCTCCACGTCTCTCTTGTGTTGGCTGCCCCAGAGCTGAACACAGGACTGCAGGTGAGGTCTCACAAGAGTAGTGTAAACATCTTCCATTCTATTATTTACTCTTCATTGTTGCTTACCTAATCTCTTACATGTATTGTTTGGATTTTTTTTTTCCTTTATACTGCACAGAAAAACATTCTGTACCACATCTTCATATGGATTGCCAGTTGCCCTAATCTTCTGTCACTCACTGTGCACCCCTGCAATTAAAGGTTTCCAGTAACTAGCAATTTGGCCGTCTGAGGCAACGTTGGTATGTGTACAATCATTTAATAATCCACTGCTTGTTTCTGGTTAGGTGATTTTAAAACTATCATGCTGCTACTGTGACATTCCTGCTCCCAGCCTCTCCAGCCACTGACTGCGGCCTTGGAGGTTCTCCCACAGGCGCTGCTCAGTTGTCCATCACCGTATTCGTACTACACTATCTCTGGTTCTCGGGGCCTGGCAATTCCAGACGCCTGTCCTCAGATTTCGGTTGTGCCAGTACAATTTTATTGATCTGAATGTACTTTGGACTTTGATTAGTTACTTGGTTGAGTTGGATTGTTTGGCTAGACCCTATTCAGTGCACATAATTATAGACAGGTATGTAAGGGGAGAGCAGCGCATTCCAAGGCAGACTTCTGCTCCTCAGGCTGCTTTATTTCTAAATACTGGGCACTCCAGCTAAACGTTTATGCAGTTAATTTACCTTTATTTCCTTACAGTGAGTATTTATTTATATTTGCTAATGGTAAAAAAATGACTTTTGAAGAAAGCTTAACAACTAAATATGGGCAGTAAAGCTTTGCAAAATGCCACCCAAAAAGCAAGGCTGAGAAGGATGGAGACACAAACACTGTTAGGCACTGATGTGTGGGAGGACTGCGGCTCTTGAGCAGCCCATGAACAGGGCTCCGCTCCTGACAGGGTGGCTTAAGGACTGAGGGGATGAAGCCAGCCCAGCTCGCAGCGAGGACCTTGGAGGAGAGGGAAGCTCCTTCCTATGCAGTTTGCGATGAGACAGCGGGACCTCTGCAGGGCAATTGCTATCTCACACCGGTTTGTCTCGGTAACCGGTGACAGAAGCGATCCGCTTTGGGAAATGAGGCGTGCGGAAGGTCATGGTGGCTCCCCCAGCGAATGCTCACAGGCCCGGTAACCGGTTCCCTCAGGAATGGATGATACCGCCCCCCCCCCCCCCGCTGCTCCCCTCTGCGCTGAGGCCGACCCGGGTCCGAGCGAGGTCAAACAGCCGGGATCATGGGCACTGCTCCCGATTACCGGGGACACGGGTCCCCGCGGGGCGGGGCGAGGGCGGGACACACAAGGCCTCTCTCCCCCGATCCCCCCCCCCCCGCGCACCGCTCCCCTCCATTGCCCCCGCCGCGGGGGAACGGCCGCCGCGCGTGCCGCGGGGAGAGCGGGGCGTGGCTCGGAGGGGGGGGGGCGTGGCCGCCCGCCGCTCCCCCCCAGCGCCAATGGCGGTGCCGCGCCGCGCCTGACGTCAGCGCCGGTAGCGCCTGCACATGGGCGCGCGGCCGGTGCGCGCGGGGCAGAGCGGGCGGCGGGAGTGGTGGTGGCGGAGGTGCGCGGCCGAGGGGCCCTTCCCGCTCCTCGGCTCGGCTCGGCTCGGCTCGGCTCGGCTCGGCTCGGCTCGGCTCGGCTCGGGCGCCCGTTGCACCGCGCTGCGTTAGCGGCTTGGCGAGAGGCAAGGGGAAGGAACCGTTGACCGCGCAGCTGCCCCGGCGGAGCGCTCACCATGTCGCGGCCGCTCCCGCTGAACCCCACCTTCCTACCTCCCACTTACGGCGTGCTGAAGTCGCTGCTGGAAAACCCGCTCAAGCTGCCGCTCGCTCACGAAGACGGTGAGGCTTCCTCGGGAATCAGTCCCTCGCTCACGCTGGGGCCGGCGGTGTCAGCGGGCCCCCTCACAGCCCGGCCCCCGAAATGGCGGCCCCATCCCGCTACCTCGCTTTCCCTTTTCCCTTCCCTCCGACCCCGCTCCCCAAGGCGAGGGAGTGCCGGGTGATTTCGGTCGGGGCGCTGAGCGCAGCCTGCCCGCCCGGGTTTCCCATTGCTGCCGAAGGGACGGCTCCGGCCGCCTGGAAAAGCAAACGAAAGGGCGCGATTTGCCTCGGTGCTGGGCAAAATGGGGCGACGGGGACCCCCCAGCCGGAGCCGGGTTCTCCCGCAGCTGCCCGGTCGTATCCGCCGGTCAGAAACCTTCCGTGCGACGGGAAGGTGTCCTGACGGTGGGAAGTTAACAACTGTCTGGGAGAACTAAGGCGATGCGCGGGTTTATCAGTGTTTCTGATGAATCAAACGCGTGTTAAAACTAGAAACCTGTGAGAGGTCTCCCAGAGCCAAGGCATTTTGTATTCCCGGCTTTCCCAGTTCCACTGCAGAGCGGTTCTCAGGATTTTACCGGGGTTTGTTGCATGTGCTTAAAAAGAAAACGTTCTGAAGGTAGTGACAGGATGCTTTGTTGGTTCGGAATCTTGCAAGTCTTGCAGCAAAAGTGAGTGTTTCGCTTCAGAAGTGCGTACTGAAACCTCTGGACGTTGTGGGAATGAGCAGGAAGCATCATTTTAACTTTTTTTCCTCACTTCTACTTTTGAATTTTTTGTTAACTTTTCTGCACATCAAAATATGTGTTCTGTCAGACTTCACTGCTGTGCTAAGTAGTGTCAAGAAGTATGGGATTTGAGGACTGCTTTCCTCATGTAAGGAATAGCAAGACTAGGACCTTAATTCAGAAGTATGACAGGATAATAAATTGCTGGGATTTTAGGTTAAGACTGCCTTTTCAACACAATACAGCCATAGTTTCCAGTTTGTTTTGCTTAAATAATCACTTTTAAGTCTGAGCGATTGAAGCTGACAGTCAAACATGTATGCAGTGGAACTGTTAACTAAAAATAGAGGAAAAATCTTGATGTTGGATCCAGCAGAGGTGCTCAGCTGGCATGAGCCTTTGATTCTCTACCACATAAGAGTGAATCAAAGGGGTTATTTTCATGAAGGAAGTATTTGTTTCTTACAACCGAGTGCAGTAGAAATAATGGAAATAATAGTACCTAATATTTTAATTTCTGAGCTCTTACACCCTTATTGTATGTTTTGTTTAAGCATTTGGTAAAGAAAAAGACAAGGAGAAGAAGTTAGATGATGACAGCACCAGTACCACAGTCCCTCAGTCAGCTTTCTTGGGTCCAACATTATGGGACAAGACACTGCCGTATGATGGAGACACTTTCCAGTTGGAATACATGGACCTGGAAGAATTCCTCTCGGAAAATGGCATTCCACCCAGCCCAAACCAGCACGAGCATAGCCCGCACCAGTCAGGTCTCCAGCAAGCTACCTCAGCATCACCTTCAGTCATGGACCTCAGCAGCAGGGCTTCTACTTCAGTCCATCCAGGCATGGTGTCGCAGAACTGCATGCAGAGCCCGGTCAGACCAGGTAAATCAGCACTAAGAACTTCCAGTGGATTTTGGCATGAGTCCTCCTCCCCTGTGTAAATCATTACTTCTCCCTGTATGGTTGACAGGCAGCTTAGAGCCAATATGGTTCAAGTCACTTGCACTCCGAAGAATAAAAATAATAGCTGTAGTTATTGCTAAATTGCTCCATAGGGATTTTTGTTTAAGCTATGTGAGGAAGCTGTGGGAATTCCAAGGAAACTTGCCTATCTTTTCTTCATTGGTAGGCTAGCTATTAGCATGTAAAAAGACCACAAATGGAACAGTAATGCAGAGGTGCCATGATGTTAAATGAACAGGGAGAAGGACCAAGAAGGAGACTATTCCTTTGGCCAATATTCGATGTGAGAACATAGGAGTGGGCGATTATTTTGAAGTTAAAACTTTAAAGACGTTGCTTCCACTAGTATGAATCCAGAATAACTGCTCTGGCTTGACACCAGCATGGCTGAGATCATGGTCAGTGGAGTAGTGTCAACATTGAAGTTTGGAAAACATGGAGCTTTGCCTTTCTTTTTTTCTTTTAAAGACCAAGGGTGACTTATTATTGTGCTCTTCTGCTCACACAAGGTTTGCGAGAGCAAAGTGTGCTCTTGGCAGCAGGAAACCACTCCTCTCCCTTCTGCTTGATCATTTGCCATGCTCAGCGTGCGCAGTCATTGTCAGAATCATCTGATAAGGAGGCAAAATAAATAAATAGAAGGACAAAAGTTGTGGAGCAGGATGAAATAGAAAAGTCTTACAAGCCTGTAACATTCCTTTCTCATTCAAAAGAAATAAAACACCCCCCCAAAACACCCCAAACCTGGCAACAGACTCCTTGGCCCCGAGTCAGAAGTGTGTGTTTAGTCGTGGATTTCGTTTACTTGCTTTTACTTCATGTGGATTTGACTTTGTTTTGTTTTGAGGCATTCCATAGTTGACTAATAACTTACACGGGTTTCCAAAGTTAAAATGTATTTGGAGTTGGCAAAAGCAGGATACAAAAAAACTCCTTGTTTTTCCTGAGCCACTTTAGTGCGTATATGCTACACTGTTTTCTGGTGCATGTGCACACACGAGTTATCTGGCAGATAATCTGGCCTCATTCTTTTTTTATTCCAGAGGAGCCGGGTTATAAGCTGGGCTTTTAATGATCACCTGTCAGAATTTGTTTGTAATCAGCTGTCTCTGTGACTTTTCAACTCAATTGATTTTTTGGGGAGTTTTTCCTGGGCTGTTTCCAGCTCAGGGTTACAGCTTGATTCATGAAACTGTGCACTTCTTCACTCTTGTCAAAGAAGTCCTGTCTCTTAGGGCAAGATAAAACCTCGTAATTTTCAGGTCTGTTTTCCCCATGCCATCTTGCCTGAAGAATAATGCACTTTTTGTGTTAAATGTGTTTTTAAAAGGGAGCTCATTCCATTTCTTAAACTATTTCCCCTGTAGCAAGTGCTAAGCCGTAGTACCTACCGCAGGGGAAATTAACATTAGTCTGGTTTTTCATCAGGTTGTTGAAGTCGTTGTGCTGTTGTATAAAAATCTTTCTTTGACAATCTGTTTTGAAGAGAATCTTAGAGTTGAGCAAGTTTTAATACAAGAGAGTATGTATTTTAAAAGTCAAAGGCAAAAGTCAAAATGAGTATTTAAGGTGGCTGTGAAAGTGCCGATGTGCTGCTTTGCAATATGAAGATAGTCTGGAGGTAGATGTTAAAATAATTATAGTGGAGCCCTTTGGTTAATGTATCTTAAGACTTTAAAAATACTTTCTTTTTAAACTG